GGAGAGTGTGAGAGACGAGAGATGTAACACAACTTGACCCTATATCAATATAAACTGTGTTGTCTAAATCTATATCTTGCTGGAAAATATATCGATATATCGTACATAGTCGTCGTATCTCCCAGCCCTGGAAGATGAACTGTGAAAACTTAATGAAATCTGACATAGACATGACAAACAGTTAATTATCGCTCGATGAAACAAATGCAAAAGTTGAAAAGGAACAGTCAGAATGCGTTGAATGGGAGGATGTATTTCTAATTCTTAATGGTAAAGATAGTAACATAGCTAATAACTGTGTTATATATTAAATACAAACCCGCAATGTTGAGTTTTGACATGTATTTGCTCTGCAGCACTAGTACAGGAGTTCATCTTTAAAATATACTTCAATATAAAATAAAAATATTATTATTTACTACTCAACTCTCCCAAAAGTCTTATTTCAAATAAAGAACTGATTCCAGTTCAGTGTGTACTGTTAATTTTGCTTTTCCCTGCTGTTCCCCAAACAGGAGCAAACATTCTGTGTTATCCTTTTTAGAGATGCTTAAAATCAAACTCATCAAAATAATTCTGCAGAGATTAAAAGACAAAATTCAATCATACTTTGGCTGCAATGCACTGCTTGGAGTAACGCAGGCTGAACTGCCATCGAGCCTGACTGAATGATGAGATGCAATCTGATGATTACCATGGAACTGGACTCGCAGCACTGCTGGTCCACCATAAATAATACCATATTGTTTTCCCTTCTAACAGGGTGATTTCACAAACTGGGTTTGTTTTCCTCAACTAGCAGAGCTGCAAAATAAGTGTTATTTACCAAGCAACGGGAAGATCCTCTTTGTTCAAGGGGATTTGAGGTGAGACTTGAGGTGGGAAGAAAAGTGTAGCCATGGGCTCATTATTTCGCCTGCCACTGGCCACCCACATACAAAATGGTTACAATTTACTGGAGGAAAGAGTTTAACACAGACTAGAAAAAACCTAAGCCATAACTCAAACCATGTACAAGAGCCTTGGTATCACATAGTTGCTGTGTAACTTAAACACATGCTGTTACATCCTTCATGCAGCAGTTAAACTACCTCATTTGATATATTAAGCACATCACGAGTCATATTTCAAATGACAAAGGAATAAAAGTGTGCACACCTCTGGCAAGGCTGTACCCATCACTAAATTTGCCATTTTGATATAAAAACAATGGTGATGTACAGGTATGGAGTGGTTTTTCCATTCAGGTTTTTAAAATATTCCACTGACTACCAAACAGACAATGCAGGACTGAAACCACTGCCGCCTTAACATAGGAAAGTATGATACCATTTAATACCTGATGAAATAGAAGGTTATCTTAATGTGATACTCAATGCAAAAACTATTTTATCAAACATTCATCCTGTTGAGATTTGAAAGATGAAATATAGTTGGTAGTTTCATGTCTCATAGAGGATGTGGTCAGGTTGTGGTCAACTTGAAAACATGTCCGTTAAAATGGTTTCCAAAGAATCTAAACATACTTCTCTAACCTTTCCTGCTTCGTAGCATTCTTTTCCATTATAGTTCAAATGCTCGGCATGTCCCAAAAAGTCATTACTTCTGTGTTTTATTTTGGGGCAACAGACAAAGTGTATTTGGCACTATCTTGTTCTTGTCTTGCTTCTATGGATGTACTGCTACTTGAAAACTTGCCACCATTGGAAAGATGAGTGGGAGTGAGTTAGTGTAGATTTTGGGTGGAGTACCACTTTAAGTTCAGTAGTCAGCAACCATCAAATTAAAAGATCTGCAGAGGTGCTACTTTGTCAACCAAGGACTGCAAGCATCACCTTTTCTCAGATGCTTCACATACAATTTTGGAACAAAGGTCTCAACTTGCCAACTTGCCGTGCCATTAGCTTGTACCCCCTCACCACACGCTCAGGCCGCCACACCCTCAACACCCAATATGTTCAACCGAAACCTTCGAAGAAGCCTGATTATTGTCAAGTGCAAAGTATGACAGCTGTTACTATGAGAATGTGGTCGGTGTTGGTGTAGTCCTGACCACATCCTCCCATCACTTCAGAGAAGCAGTTTAACAAGAACTGAAGGCTCTGACTGACAGTGTGAAACTGGCTGCCTTGTTAACACTGGTTCAACCCTTCACAACCCCCATCTCGGTGCAGTATTCAATCAGTCATAGCTGTCAAAAACAAAAACAAACGCCTTCAAGAAAATATTGGCATGCAGACAAGGGCACGGCTTGCTGCATACTTGATAGCCTTCAAATAGGAAATCCACAGTACACAAGTACAAAGTGATATGACATCATATTTTTACTTTCTCTCCCCAATGCCACATTTACTCATCAAGCTACTTACAGTTTGCACATGAGTGTTCACTGTGTGAAGTCAATTGTTTATGTAACATGGCAGCGTAACATCAGTGAAGTCCAAATCACTTTCAAGCCAGTCGATTGAGAGAGTATGAACTCTTACATTTTGGTTCGTTGGTGTACGAGTAGCATTACATAACAACTTTATTATGCATGAAACTCCTTCTATCTTGATTAAGAACTGCACTTCCTGCATCAACCCAACCCTGGTAACAATCCATGTTCTCTTAATGCTAACTTAGCATGACATTCATTTTGGCTCCAACCAATTGGAAGTCATCTCTGTTGTGACTCACTGGATGTTTATCCATCTGTGTGCTGTGTTACTAAGCAAATGCCACAAAGTCATTTGAAACTGACTTGATGTGCATTTAACTCATTTCTTATGCCTTGTCATGAAGTCTTTCATTCTGTAGCCTGATGCAGCACTTATTGAATTTAGGCCATTGAGCATTTCACAATGATTTCTTATCTGCATGGATACCCTGGCACTGGACAACGATGTGGAAACCTCTGAACCAGTTCGCTAAATTAGACAGGGGCATTAATCTTAACAGCAACAGCAACGGGAGATTTTCAAAGTAACATGTTACATAAAAGACTTTCTCTGTCTCTTCTTTTAGAACAGCTTTTGAGTTTAATCCAAAATGTTGTCAATAATGAGTCACAAATCTGTTGACATAAGCTTCTACATGTTTCAACAGAGCCTATAGCTCACAGGAGTGGACACCACACTGAAAAAAACTGCACTGAAATGGCCTGGGAACTGAGACAGGTCCTTGTGTAGTGAGAGATGACTTGGAACTTTACAAGGCAGAAATGTCAATATTACCCCCATCAATCTCCAGGCAGAGGGCACGTCAGAGTTCAACACCCACAATGTGCCAAGAATGTGTTGCCTGGAAAACCTGTCAGTGAGAAGAGGCGAGCAGCTGGACCCCGGCCACTTCTCCTGAGCAGAGAACTCTCACCAAAGCACCAAACCAGAAGCCTAATAATGGTATCGATTGTGCACATGGTGATAAGCGATTAAGCCACCAAATTCACCCAAATGCACACCAGACCCTGCCACTTGAAAAGTGCATCTCAACAAATTCCTTACACAGCTCATGCATTTTAAATTTAGCTGGCCCTAGAGGGAATGAAATCTCTGAGTCAGACTTCTAATTCGCTGACCTCTGAAAGCCAAATGTAAACAACATCAAATAAGACTCATACACTTCTGACATCTCCTTTAGGATTTCTATGCTATGGCAATCTTCTGTATGGGTAGAGTACAGTTTATGTAAAGAATAATGCATCCTTTGTTCAGTAGAGCCGAGTAACTCCCCTTCACCACACTCAAACTTGTTTCTTTACAGTTTTATGGCTGACATTATGACAGCTACAGCAGCAGAGGGGAGACTTACATTACAGAGTTGCTGACATTAGCTACAGACGAGGTCTCGGAGGCTTTCAACATACAGTAGATTGATGCAATGTGAGGAAGTGTCATCATCTTTGTTACCCCTTGAGCAACACCCCCAACGTCCATACCCGCAAGACAGACAAAAGTAAAAGTGCAAAGCTTCCGAGTGAATTACAACAAGACAAAGAATGAGCAGTTTAGAAATATTAATCTCAAAAAGGGTTGTCTGTTATTTGCATATCTCTCTCAAAACATGTACACGTAATAATTTCTGCAGGCACCCAGGATGAGCACCTGGAGCAGGTTAAGACTTGTGAGTTTTACTCAGGGATTTTTTTTTTTTTTTTTTTTTTATGATCACTTATATGTCTTCTCCAGCAATGTGACATATTTATTGAGTTACTCATATACATATTAGATTAACAGTGTTAAGGCAGTCCCCCTTATTAATCTGCACATATGTGAGGTCAACACATAAACATTCAGGAGCCCTGCATGCTGTTTTATTACCAGTTTATCATTCTACAATATTTGCTGCTTTTCTGAACAGTCCAAACTAGATTTACTGCTGTTCATTTTATGGATACTCCCTCTCATTCCCTCTCAAGTGTAATATTTTATTGTGTGCTATTTGCTGTCTTTGATGCTGTCCAAAGACTTTTACATCAGTCCACTTTCATCCATGTGCAATCTTTAATCTTTCTTTCTATCTGTTCAACATATCTGTTTGTGTCTATATTAGAATAATGAACACGGTGCCTTAAAGCACATGCTTCCTGTCTTACAGAAGAGTTGTGCATGCTAAGATAGACATTTCTCTGCTGTTGTAACACTAGATTTCCCCCTTCTGGGAACAATAAATATCACCTTATCTTATCCTGTCTCTACAGGCATGCACATATAACTAGATTACCGGCATTCTAGATGAAATAAGGAGCTCTTGTATGCAGAATAATTCAGACAAAGTACAGTGTGTGCTTCTGGTGATCCCGTTACCGGCCTGTATTGTGAAAAACACCTATCTCACTGAAATGTTATGTGTAACCATGTTACAGGCGAGGCTAGTGCAGAGGATGCATATGAAAGAGACATTAAATGAGAGCGGGGGGGTTGAATAGGAACTTCCAACACCCTATGTGCTCTGTAGATGTGCAAGCTAGCTCGCCAGAATGAATGGCACAACGCCGAGATTTTAACTTCAATGTTTACCTTGATAATGCTGCTCCTGCGTGGTATTTCAGATTTGCCATCCAATCCGACAGAGGTGTTGGCGGTTTCCACCCCGGCTTGGCTACCAGGTGCGACGAGGGATCCCGAACCGACCATATTTTCCGATATCCCACAGTCTCCATTCAAGACCGACACTTCGCAATGCGTCTTGCCAGCTGCTTCGTCGCTGGGCACGGCAGTATCCCCAAGATTCAATGGAGGCAGGCTGCCGTCCTCCCCAAACTCCGCCATAGGCACTTCGAGCACACACGCACACACACGAGCTTGGCAAGCCGCTGGGTAGCAAAGCCTTATGTTTCAGCTTTACTCCAATTTCCTGCCTGGCCTATTGCCTCGTTGAAACATTTGCACGCAATTCTGCCATATCATCTATCGATGCACATATCTGTCAGGTTCCTACAGACACAGGGGCTCGCTCCGTGCACTGGGCTCTGTGAAGACACAACCACAGCGATTAGCATAATTAGGCAACATGACATTAGTAAGAGCAGTTACGATAACAGAAGCAGCTGTAAAGCCTTACAAAGAAGAAGCGTTCACATGTCGTGCTCACGAAAAGCGGATGTTAAGTTAAAATCAGGGAACCCTGTCACCGTAAATGCAGCATGATAAAACGCATAAACATGCTTCCCTATATGATCAGGCTTTGTTGCATTTTTCCACATGTTTTCAGCACATTTGCACCGCTTCCATCCCACATACAGCCCCACTGTGTTTTATTTCACTGTAGTAAACCCACCCGCTTCAGTTCAGCAGTGGTCGGCAACGTTAAGTTAAATATTCTTTAAAGCTCGCCAAGTTTTCACTTCAATCAACTCCCACGAAACTCATGACTGGTTTAACATCAGTGTGCGGTAGCTTTATGTACTTGCCTTGTGAGCAGCCGTGTCTCTCCATGGAAAAGACGGTTCTTCCTTTTAAAGTTGCGGCAGCTGAGCGGACAGACAACCGTTTGCTGTCTGTGCTGCCGTCTGTGTGCCGAGCCGAGCTACGTTAGCTAACAAGCTAACCTCACTCTCTAAGCTAGCTCGGTGAAGTTAGTTTGCACAGGCGACTCAAAGTCCAGTGAATACAGCCCCGGCTGTTGGCAAACAAAGACAGAAACTCCCTCCGCCGTCAGTCAGCAACGACTGTCCGTGATTTATCCGTTCACGTTAAAAGACTGAAACGTTAATTTGCCGTTAAAGGTGTCTCGCGCATCTTTAAGAACCGTCACTCAGCGAACTCGTTTCCAGGGAACAAAGTTGTGTATGTTTCGTGAGCGCGCGGCAGGCAAACATACTGTGTTGTCAGTCAAAGCTAATTATTTTTTCACCGACAGACAAGAAACGCCCACTTTCACTCTTACACAGGACATTTAAACCTGCTGGGCTCAAAATACACTCAGATTATCTCTCTAATGATTGTATCTTAACGCTCAGACATCACAGTTACATGTCTAACTAGTCACCTGATAGCTTTATCTGTGTTTTTCACAGTTTATTTTAGTGTGTAATCTATCTTTTTGGGGGCAATTATACGTCATAGCATATGGAGCAGTACCGCAGCATTTAGTTTTGGAAAGCTTGCACTGCCTGGGGGGTTTTAAAATACACAAAAGCTAAAATAAATAAATGAAAATACATACGCCTACAGCAAAGACCTCCAATCTTAACTAGTAAATACATAAAAAAAACAGAAAATTCAACAAAGGTGCACATGCAACACAGCACAAAGGTCACCAAGAAAATATATTCAAAATGGCACAAAACTAAAAAAAAATACAAAAAACAGAGCAAAAGTCAGCAAGAAAATACATTCATAATAGCAAAAAAATGGCAAGAAAATATAAACAAAGCAACACAAAATTAACAAGAAAATACATTTAAAACAGCAGGGGGAAAACCCCACAAAAATCATTTAAAACAGCAAAAAAATCAACAAAAAGTACTCTCAAATCAGAAGAAAAATGAACAAAAATACTTTAAAAACAGCACGAGTCAGCAAGAAAAACATACAAAAAAATGCACAAAAATTGGCAAGAAAATATACACAAAGCAACACAAAAATGAACAAGAAAACACATCTAAAACAGCACAAATCTCAACAAAATTATTTCAAAACAGCACGAAAGGTCAACAAGAAAATAAATTCGAAACAGCAAAAAAATAAATCAACAAAAATACTTTCAAAATAGTCCAAATGTCCACAAGGAAAGAGCCTACATACAGCAGAAAACACAGAATTCAATAAGAAAACACATACAAAAACAGCACAACACACAAAATTCAACAAGCAAATACATACAAAACACAATATTCAACAAAAAACACACACAAAACAGCACAGAACACAAAATTCAATAAGAACACATGTACAAAAACAAAACAGATCACAAAATTCAATAATAAAACATACAAAAACAGCACAACACACAAAAATCAACAAGTAAATACAGACGAAACACAAAATCCAACAAGAAAACACATACAAAATAGGACAAAACCCTTTAATGTAATTCTTAATTTGTTTTATTTTGAAATATCTTTGAACATGCTCCACAAATAACCCACTAAAAATAAATTATTGATATTAAAAGAGACCAACAGCTCGGTCACTTTTACATGTAGGAAGTCCCAGAACCTGAAGGCACTCCTGAAGACAATACCAGCCTTTCACAGAAAAGAAGATTTCCTTGAAGACCTCATAAACAGATCAAGAAAAAAAAGTCTTTATCAGTTTAAGCACCGACCTCACTGGGTCTAAATCAAGGGGTAAACCACCATACCTCACTAATTAAAGGCATTCAATATAACCCTTCTTCTTGCGCTGCCTAAGTGTGCCTGTATTATTAATATTGTTGCCATTAACACCATTGTTATTCAGAAGCTACATATGACATCTCTTAAGGACAGCCATCATCTCCCAGAAACACTCACATGACCTTCTCTGTTTTGAGTCACATTGTTTGTTGGGTCTTCCTCTTTATGTGGACAGTCATGGAGACGATGGACTAATCTCAAAGGTTAAGTAATAGCCTTCACTGAATAACTGCCTTTTGTTCTCTTCTTGTGAAAAGCTGCACTGTAACATATGTGACCAGAGAGATTCATCTAAGATCATCAATTCTCAGATGAGAGCTTTGAAATATTGGTCACACATGGCAGGGCACATACCCTACATGTAGATCATATAGCTTAATACTGGGCTCTGCATGAGAGACACAGAGAGGGAGTGATGAAGCATAACATTGTTCTACATGATTTAATGCATTTTATTCATAGACCACTGGTTCAGATGGAGGCAGATAAACTCAACAGTGTGGTCATGTATGATGGGTTGTACAACAGCGCCATCTGCTGGTCCATAAGGTTTATTGATCTTTTGGTGAATGTGTAGTGCAGATTTTATTAATATCCTCTCAACATCCTCCTCTGACAATATGACCTTTTATAATTATTATCATTATCATTATTATTATTATTATTATTATTATTATTATTATTATTAGCAGTAGTAGTAGTAGTAGTAGAGGTAGTAGAAGTAGAAGTAGTAGTAATAGTAGTAGTAGAGGTAGTATTAGTAGTAGAAGAAGTAGAAGTCGTAAAAGTAGTAACTGGGTGTTGGAATGTCCAATGCTAATTGTCTTACCCACAGTCACCTGGGGACAGTGCACCAAAAATAATCAAAATACATATTTTTCCTCTTACCTGTAGTGCTGTTTCAGTCTAAATTGTTTTGGTGTGAGTTGCCGAGTGTAGAGATGTCTGCCTTCTCTCCAGTATAATGGAACTAGATGGCACTCTGCTTGTGGTGCTCACAGTGGGAAAAAAAAAAAAAAAAGATTGGAAAAACTCAACAGCAAATGTTTCTTTCCAGAAATCATGACCTGGTTATATAATAATCCACAGACCTTGTTGTGAGCAGTTTCATGTAGGAACTATTTTCTTTCTACCAAACTACACCTGCAAACACAGAAGGAAACGTGCATCTACTGCTAGCTCACCTAGCACCACTGAGCTAGTTAACGTTACAGCTCAGCCAAGGAGGACTCCATTAATGTTTACATCTCACACTGTCACAAGCACGAGCCTCTCGTCCATGAGTAGATGCACGCTTCCTTCTGTGTGGTGATAAAGTTGGTGGGTGTTCAGGCAAACCCAACTGACTGATTGACTGACTGGTTAGCAGTACCATGAGTAGCAGGTATATTTATCATCATCATTTGCTGTGTGCTTTGCTGTTTTGTGACCTATGGTTTGACAGAGCTATTTTCTGTCTATTTATAATTATTTGTCAGACGTGACTCAGACTGGCACCGCACTTTATTAAAAAAACAGCAAACCTTGCATTAATCTGATTCCAGATCAAGACACTCTGGTAAGAATCGCTGTATGCTGTTAATATTGACTTCGAATCTGTTTGGAACATGCATTCAAAAAATGCGATTAATCGTGATTACCTATTGAAATTCAGTGATTAATCATTTGACAACCCTATGAGAACTATTTCTTTTTGCCGAACTACACCTGTCAACCATATCACTGTGCAGAAGGAAGTGTGCATCTGCTCATGGACAAGAGGCTGGTCTTCAGGACAGAGCGAGATGTAAACATTAATAGTGTCCAGCTCGGCCGAAATGTCACGTTAGCTAGCTCAGTGGAGTTAGGTGAGCTAGCAGTAGATGCACACTTCCTTCTGTGCAGTGATACGGTTGGTGGGTGTAGTTCAGTAGAAAGAAAATAGTCCCTACATGAAACTGCTCACAACAAGGTCTGTGGATTATCTTGAGTAACCTGATCATAATTTCTGGAAAGAGATGTCGCTGTTGAGTTCTTCAAATTTAATTTTTGGCGCTTTGAGCACCACAAGCTGAGCGCAATCTAGTTCCAGTACACTGGTGAGAAGACAGATATCTCTACGGCTGATATCTCCAACACTCTGCAACTCACACCAAAACAATCTAGATTGATAAATAGCACTACAGGTAAGAGGAAAAATATGTTTTGGTTTTTTTTTGGGGCGGGGGGGTGAACTGTCCCTTTCAGTGACTATGACAATCAAATGACTACTTGTACAGTGAGTGTCCTGTGCATTAGATGGAGGGCGAAGAAAACAAGAGGTTCAATGATGCACATGCAATGCTCAAGCAGTTGGTGTGGCCCAGGCATTATTACTGTGTCTTTTAGCTCTGCCGCCTGTCCCACCAGCAGAGACCAGAGACTGACCTCCGGTGGTGCATGCTGTGCACTACATACAATGAGTTTGATAGTAAGAAGAGCACCTGTATTTAAGAAGGTATTGAAAATCATTTCTGAATATCCTGGTGTACCATTATTGTGAGATACCATCTGAAGAAAATAGTTCCTACATGAAACTGCTCACAACAAGGTCTGTGGATTATTTTGAGTAACCAGGTCATGATTTCCAGAAAGAGACATTGCTGTGCCATCTCAATGTACTGGAGAGAAGACAGATATCTCTATGGCCGCTATCTCCAACACTCAGTAACTCACATAAAAATAATCTAGACTGATAAATAGCACTGCAGGTAAAATATGTATTTTTAATTATGGGCTAAACTGACCTTCAAGCTTTAATGCAGATAATCCATCTGACATTTGGACGAGTAGATAATGGAGTGACTTTGGACCCTTATATGTAAAGTGAAACCTTTTGTTCTCCAATTATAATAAAATAATTACCTAAAAAACACGTTAATATAATAAAAATGTAGATGTTTAACTCTTATCAACCATAACAAAATACACCACTTGATTTCAAATATAGTCTTTATTGTATGATCATGTGTATAATTCATATTCTTGATTCATATCTGGGGTTTGGACAGATAACAGTACAAATGTATTTTCTATGTGCACATTTCTGCAATTCATTACGTTGAGTCCCCCTAAGTACAGTATGACATCCTGTGTGGCCCGGCAGTAAAATCCATCACCATGTGTATGCAACACAACTCCAACAGAGTGTCCCATGAGGTTTTGATTAGAGATAAACAGTTTAAAACACTCCCCTTTAACTTAAGGCAACCACCACTAAACCACATTTTTCCAGACACTCGTACGGTGCTGGTCATGGATATATATTCCTGTAAGCTTACAGGAAATTGATTACAGTTTGCAGTACAGTTTGCAGACTCCAGGGCTCATGTTTAGCCAATTGGGATGATTTCAGTGGGGCATTTGCATGAAGCAGGACACCAGGCGAGCACATACTTATTGCTGCATCCTATCTTAGTGGTCAAGTACCGACAGTTGAGGAAGTGGTTAATGTCAGGACATGGGTTGGCTGAAATGAAAAACAAAATAATGAAGAGGTTAGCTTATTGTCTTTTTTTCCTGCATCAGTAGACAATCTTTCAATATACACTAGCCACTTTATTAGGTACCCCTTGCCAGTACCAGGTTGGACCCTTTTTCCTTCAGAACCTCCTTAATTCTTGGTGGCATAGATTCAACAAGGTGCTGGAAACATTCCTCAGAGATTTTGGTCCATATTGACATGATGACATCACACAGTTGCTGCAGATTTGTCGGCTGCACATCCATGATGTGATCTGCTGCTGTAGCCCATCTGCTTCAAGGTTGGACATGTTGTTGGTTCAGAGATGATCTTCTGCAGACCTTGGTTGTAACCAGTGGTTATATGAGTTACTGTTGCCTTTCTATCATATTGAACCAGTCTGGCCATTCTCCTCTGACCTCTGGCATCAATAAGTCATTTTGGCTCACTGGATATTTTCTCTTTTTGGGACCATCCTCTGTAAACCCTAGAGATGGTTGTGTGTGAACATCCCAGTAAATACTCAGACCAGCCCGTCTGGCACCAACAACCATGCCACATTCAAAGTCACTTTAATCACCTTTCTTTTACCCATTCTGATGCTCAGTTTGAACTTCAGCAGGTCGTCTTGACCATGTCTACATGCCTTAATGCATTGAGTTGGTGCCACGTGATTTGCTGATTAGCTGTTTGTGTTAATGAGCAGTTGAACTGGTGTACCTAATATTGTGGCCGGTGAGTGTATACTTGCCATACAAATCAATCAATTCAATCAATTTTATTTATAAAGCCCAATATCACAAATCACAATTTGCCTCACAGGGCTTTACAGCATACGACATCCCTCTGTCCTTTGGACCCTCACAGCAGATAAGGAAAAACTCCCCCAAAAAACCCCCTTTAACGGGGGAAAAAAATGCTGTTTGTGTTTGTGTATGTTTGTCATATTTACTTACTGCAGAGTTTGTCTACACAGTTGTTGGGGCAGGAAGCACACGGGGGTCCAGCCTTATATGGAGGCCATCTTCTGAAGTTTCCTCTGTTAAACAAATAAAATCAGTTTTTTATCCCTCGTCTCTCGACTCAGATCTAACCTCTGATTAAATACATAGACAGTTTTGTATTTTATTTTTCCACCAAGCTCTCCCAGAAGTCACATGCAAAACACAGTCATGGGTTTTATGGGCATTGAGGGTGAATAAGGGTCACATACGCTCGATAATAATGGCAGCCATAAAAGTAAATGTTCTTAGGGCACAGTTTCACTCCACAGCCAACTCTGTAGGAGCTGTTCCACACCACCTGACAATAAAAACAAAAAGTCATTGTGAAAGTGGGAAAACTGATTAAAAATCGACCTATTTGTTTTTGCTAAAATGCATAAAAATATCCCCTTAAAACACAATGATGACTGTGTATGGGGGTACAATAGTGCTGTTTGAAATGCTATCTCTCCAGTGGTTTTTGAAATGATGTGAATCCTTTGGTGAAAGCAGGATTGTTCAAACTTATTTTGTACAGATAATTACCCATAAAATGAATATTTAGGAACACAAAAAGGCTCTTTGAAAGCTCTAATCCACAGAAGCATTCTCTAATCAGTCATGATTATCAGTCCTTAATCTTTTGATCTAACTACTTGTTAGCAAACAGTTACTTATTTACACATCCAGCGGATGCAGAGCAGCGTTATCACTTATTTGGAGTCGTGTTTCTGGTCTCCTGATGAACATAAGTCCAATATTGACCTTCCTTTTTGCTCTGTTTTCAGTGTTACTCCTGAGGGATAAATGCTCCACTTTGTTCACTTTGTTTTAGAGCTTATTGAAAACAATGAAACCAGTGAGAGTGAACCAAAACACTAAATTATGGGCTGAAAAACCAAAAGACTAAAAGACACTAAAACGTTCTGTAGAGCTGAAGGACACAGCAGTCAGGTGATAATAATTCCCTGCAGGTTTATTACTACAAGCAACCCTTTTCACTTACTGTACAAGTAGTCATTTGATTCTTCGTTAAAGGGACAGTAGTGCTTTTTGTCAAAGAAGGTTGTTGTGGTGTGAGTTGCAGAGTGTTGGAGATATCAGCCGCATAAATGTCTGTTTTCTCTCCAGTATAATGGAACTAGATGGCACTCAGCTTATAGTGCTCAAAGCGCCAAAAAAAATTAATTAAAAAAACTCATCAGCGATGTCTCTTTCCAGAAATCATGATCTGGTTACCCAAGACAATCCACAGACCTTGTTGTGAGCAGTTTCATGTGGGAACTATTTTCTTTCTGCGCCCACTAGGCTCGGGCGTTGTCTTGGCATAACAGTGTACCATGGTATCCAGAAATCCTGACGGTATGATTTTAAATACCGTCGCAAATACAGGTGCTCCTTTCTCTGTTAAACTCATTGTATGTAGTGCCCAGCACGTGCCACCAGAGGTCAGTCTCTGGTCTCTACTGGTGGAACAGGCAGCTGAGCTAAAAGACACCTGACACTGTGGTGGAGGAATAATGTCCGGGCCACACTGGATGCATCCTGAAACCTCTTGGTTTTTTTTCAGCACCCATCTGGCACACAGGACTGCAAACAGCCCACCAGAAATGGCCGAGAGAAACTGTGGGGTAAAACAACATGTTTTTGTACACCTAACTCAGTTAAATAAAGGTTTGTTTCGACCAAACTGGAGTGTTGACAGCTGGGACAAATCATGGCCTGCCGAAAAAACAAAAGAAAAGAACCCTTTAAATTATCACTTATCAACACTTTAATTCCAAATCTGTGGTGAAACGTTATTTTTAAAGGATATATACGTATTAAATAAGTATGATTTGTAAAAAAATCTTTGTAACTTCTAAACTGCTCAAGCAAACATCCTTGTCCCAGACAAGAATTCACAATTTAAAAAATGTGTTAAAAGCCTTTAAAGTCTAAAACTAAAAGTAGGTACTGATAACACTGGTGCAAAAAAATGTGCCGCTTTAATTAAATTTGTTTTAAAATATGTTTTTATAAAAAAAATTGGCCTTTTAAAAATGTGTCCCAGATTTTTATCAGCTCCATTGGGTTTCTACATAAACATCATTTAATCAGGCATAAAAGGAGTTAGCTATATCCTAGGGCAGTGGTTCTCAAGCGGTGTGCTGTGACACACTGGTGTGTAGTAATGCTAGTCCAGGTGTGTCGTGGGATTGTGTGATAACCACACATTATTACTGCCAAATTCAACTGGGCCTATACAAAATGTTATGGATGAAGTTTTAATTGCCAGTATCAGTATGTTGTGCGCACCCATTTCCCTAATAAAGAGGCAAACTTTACCTAAAAAATGTAATTTAATTTTAAAAAATTAAATTATTATTAGTGTGTGGGACATCAAAAGCCCTGATTGGCAGCCAGTGTGAGGAATGATAAGATTTAAAAGGAGAAAGTGGTGAGTGGGACAATGGATCTTTTTATTGTACGGAGCAAATGACAACAAAGCACCAACAAAGACGACCTACCACCGAAAGAAAAGAGAAAGGAAAACCTCAGTAGCGGTATCATGAAAGCTACCTGTCTTATTTATTGTCTTATGTCGTGATAAGAGTGATAACACACCTTATAGAGTCTACTGTGCACAGATATAAAAACAGGTGTGCCTTGTGATTTTGGTGTGCCCTTTGGTGTGAAAGTCTGAAAACCACTGTCATAAAGACTCCTGTCTCACTTCCTGGTTTCCAAAAATGCTGCTCAAGTACTGGTAAGCTTTCTGTTTTATGATGAAGTCATTAAATAATACTGCTATTGTGTGTGTCTCAACGTAACAGGTCAACTCTGTAGCCTTTCTAAATCAAAACTAAATAAGAATTATGGTTTAAAAATTAATATCTTGATTAGCATTAAGAGAACTCTCAGCAACTTTTAAATACGAGTGCTGTGAAATTATTTATTATATAACTTTTTGTCAACTCTGTGAGACGTCAACTCCCTCAAATCTTACATCTGATGTCCATCGTGTGTGCTGTTTAAGAAACAAATAAATCACTAGGAGGTTATTCCATTTCAAGGTTTAATAGTCAAAGAACTTTTCCAGAAAACTTTGATCTTTTTAAAATATATTTTCCCAACCTAATTAAAGAGTAATTAGCACCACCTGGAAAGAGACGTTGCTGCTGAGTCTTTCACATGTATGTTTTTGGCACTTTGAGCACCACAAGACGAGTGCCATCTACTTCTATAATACTGGAGAGAAGGCAGACATCTCCAACACTTGACAACTCACAACAAAACAATCTAGACTGATAAATGAATCCCTTCTATGTAAAATTATTGATTATAGACGCTTTAATTCAAAATTAAACAATAAAACAAAGCCTCACTGTGTGACCTGTGTTCCTGCTGCCATGAAACAAACTTAACAATCATCTCTGTCGATACATCACTGTTGCCCTGGCAACAGCTAAGTGTTACCTGTGTGTAGTGACCAATAGGTTTGCCATTAGTGGAGCCGTTGGGATACTGGTAGTGTGCCACCTCACTGTGCCAGGCGTTGATGACGGCCGTCCATGAGTACGGTTTGGAGGAGTAGAACAGATTCTCACCTAACTGATATCCTGCTCGTTGGTGAGAAACACATGGCGGCACTGATTAATGTGTGTCTGCAAACACAGTTTTATTTTCATGTCCTAGTAGATTAAGTTATTTAGATAAAACAGGGTTCATTAAAAGGCCTATTGATGATAATCTCCTTAATGATAACATATCCTACTCCATGTAATTTGTCATTAAAGGAAGGTATTAAGACTGGAGATAAGATAATGTTCGCTGTGACTCTGACGATCAATCACAAGGTCAAACAGGTTCACAGGGAACCTTTACACTGAGTGCACCCCTGAGGTATATATGGAGCAGGGTAAAGGCAAACCAAAAAGAGAGATGTAGAGTAAAGGAACATAAAAAATATACACACCATTGTACAAGCGGCTTCTGACTGGTCCATGAGCCAGAATACATTTGTCAACCCAGGCCTGAGCAGAGGCTGCTACCTCCTCACTGTAGCTCTGAAAAAATAAGAGATTTTAAAAAAGTTTCATTTTCAAACAGCCACGACTACGAGGCAGAAAAAGATCCATTCTCTCACCAGATATTGGTTTTGAAAACGGGATCATGTGTGATTTAGAAGACTGATGAAATCTCAAAATGCGTTCCACTCCAACCTTTAAAATATGAAAAGGTTGTGATTGAAGCGGGCGTCCCCTTCGAGACCTGCTGCTGTGCTTTTTCATACGGCCCAAAGCCAAAACTGAGCTCTAAAATAAACATGAGATTCTTCCTTTTCTCTTCTGTGCAGATACCTTACACCTCCAGAGGAGGAAACAACACATCTTTACCCTCCTGTTGTCTGACATGTTTTCAACTGTGTACAGTGCTTGTAATGACTGGGCTTGGCTCCCTTCATTAAACAGATTAGACGATGTTAACATTAGAGTAATTATATTTACCTATGACACCAGAGTCCAAAATGTATTTTCGCATTTCACATGTTAATGATTTTGACTAAGATATTTGACTAAGGTTGAGTCAGCACTTAATCATGAACTATACAATGCTGCTTAAGACTTAGATAATACTTTTAGGCGTTGTGCAGAAAACCTCGCCCACTATATTGCCTTTTCCTTTAAGCAAGTATGGGAAAACAAATGCTGGGAACCATTAGCAAACATTATTTGAGCCACTTCTATTGTGCAAGTTGACAACGGGACTGACCATTTGCAGCATGTTAGAGGCAGTAGGCTGAACAGCTCTCCTGATGGCATTGTGATGGTCAACAATCTCCGCCTGCACTGTTTTGTTGTTTGGGCAAATGTCTGCACACACACACACGAACACAGACACACACCCACTTAAAACCAATGGGTAAACATGAGATCAAAGATATAATACAGAGTGATATTTACTCTGGTGGCTTAATATCCAAGATATGACTCACAAACATATCCTGGATTAATTACTCTGAAATGGCTTGGCATCACAAAAGAACATACAGACAGGATTGTGACAAATCCAATGATCTTATTGGGAGACTTGTTGGCATGGTTTCAGAGTTGATGCTGGAAAATAAAATGCCTCTGTGAAGTTAAACACACGTGATGCAGTTAACGTTGTGCTTACCTTGCTGTGGACACACCGTGGCATGCAGGGAAGTGCATTTGAAAAGGAGAAGAAATTTGAGTTAAGCTCTTATCAGGGCATCAGGTGTGAGAAAAATAGTCCTATCCCTTACTTTAAAAAACAAAAAAATTGCACCACAGTGTAAATACACTTAAAACCAGACAGGGAACCTAACTTGACTTATTTTAATTAATTAAAAATGTTACCTGACTTAAAACGTAAAGCATTAGCAGGACAAAAAATAATAATTTTAAATAATAAGCAAAAATGCTTTACTTCTTTCACAGCTACACACAGTCACACTTTTCTTTGGAATAGTGGGATTTATTTATCTATTTTTAATAATATTGTGAATACACAGTTCTAGTCTTATTTAATTTAACACTGAAAATCTGTTCATTGGTTAATTTCCTCCCTGAAAATGTCATTTCAGTGTAACATCTCCGTGCCACAGTTCAGGGTGATTGAATCAACAATAAATATTTGAGAGGTCATGTTCCATGCTACAACAAATATTATTACATAAGAACATGTTTGTCTAGTTATCTTTTTTTCTGTCTAGATTAGACTCTTGCAGTGGATAATGTCTTATTAGCTCATCATCTATTTTACATGTAAAATCTGCAAAGTACTCAATTAAGTAAATGTAAAATACACAATATTTCTGTCTAAACTGCACCACACTCTCACAAAATCAAAACTACTGAAATGCTGTATTAATAGCTCAAAATTTTTACAACTAAACAACTTTCCAGAACATGGAAAACACTTGAAACATATTGCAGCACAGCATCCTATAATATTCAAAAACTTGTTAACACTTGTACTCACCAACACGCAGGCAGAGTGCACCTGCTGCAGTGTCAAGATGCAAATCAGGAATGGAAACATTTTAGGGAGACGCCTGTGTACAGTGAAGATTAAAAGCAAAGTAAGATTACTGATTAAGACTTAGTGAGACATTTTGGCATTTCATACCGGTTTATTCTTAAATAATTCTTTTATTTTTACTATTTTAAATTGAAAGTCAATCATAAAATTAAAAATTAGTGAATTAATAAAGTTTACGATCAATGTTTAAAATATGTTCATATGTAAACCTCTGAACTAAGAGGCGTACCTGCGTCTGGGTCATCAGGAGGTGGAGGTGTGTTGGCACTTTCCTCTCCCTCCTTTTATAGACCCAGCTCAGCTTCTAATTATAGTATACATATAGCACATTCCCCTCTGGCTGCTAATGATGCAGCAGTTCCCATGTCTTTACATAACGGCTACTGGACAAAAACAAGTCTGTCAGGCAGCACTGAACAGGACAGTGGATCACCACAACTGAGAAAAGAAGAACATTTCTAACATAGTTAGAGCAAACTATAATGTTTATTTCAATCAGGCCACTGTAGCAAAGGAAAACCTTTCTTTAAATTTGTAGTATGATATTTTGCAATATGGCTCTCTACTGGGACCTCTCCACCCTTCCAGCGCACGATCAGTGCGTGATCAGTGTGTGTGCATCTCAGAACCTCTAGTTCTATTTCAGAGCAGCTGCCCTGCCTACATGAGCAACACTGTTCAGGTGCGGCACAGCTGCAAAACATCTAGAGAACTGCAGTCTCACCTATTTTATACATGTTACGTGCATGGTTTCAGCAAAAAAAAGAGAAAATGGACTTGGATAATCATATTGAAATTGTTTCACCTTTCAGTACAATTTCAATATCTTTGTCTGTCACAGACATGAAGAAACATAAAAGAAATCTTTCCAACTCACTCTCTTTCCTGTTCCTGTTTCAAAAAAAAAACTTGTCATGACTGTGTTTTTGACAAACAGCACAAACATGCTGTTCACACAGCATATCAGGTAACCGTCATGTACTGTTCACGCAGGCAGTGTGGCCCAGGTGTAAGGCAGAGAAACATACATGGACAGCCTGCTGCTCTCCATGCCTTAAACCCAAAACACACTGGCGGCGTCACGTGACGGTGGCGTTATTGACGCAAGTCAAGTGCCGCCCCCAACACACACAGAGAGTGTCGCGCTGCGGAGCATCAACTGGAATTCTATTGCACACTCCAATCCGCTAGGTGGTGGTAATGAGACTAGCTGGTTGCCAACCACCAATGGAACAAAAGACGAGGAAGAAGACGCACAAAGAGAAAGAAAACACACAACGCAGGACGACCACGACAACCATAAAACTACGGTACCAATGTGAGTTGCTTATTATCATATGACGATAGATGGCACCAAAGTTCTTCATCTCTGCTCTTCAACAGAGCTGCTACTTACGGGAGCTGGTAAGTACAAAATAGGCATTTCTCTGAAAAAGAAGCGCTTTTTCAAGGGTGGTGCGTCACATCGATGCGCGTCGACGCGCATAATAATAATAATAATAATGATAATAAATAAAAAGAATAATGCCTGGGATTCACTGGTGTCACCGAGAATCACTGCCGGACGCGACGCCTATTCTGAAAAGGACGCTTTGGAGGCGGAGCCTGGAAATATGCGGAAATACAGATGGACGCAGCTACTGTAGGAAAGCTTTCGCCACTGCTACGATAGCTTATCTTCCAT